ACTGTAACCTAGGACACAGGCTGAAGGGGTAGGAGCAAGTAGGTTATGAGAGCCAAGACAGGAACCAACAGTAATGCCTTTTCAGGTAAAATTTCAAAGTCGAGTTAGGCTGATGGGAGCTTCTATTGTAAGGGGAATTCTTAGCCACTGCTCTTTCCCCTTCTCATACTCACCTCCAGCTGCGTGTTCTTGCCTCCTTTCTTCTGCTGGTACTAGTATTTACTAGTGTAAAATGTCAGGAGGATGGAGCTGGGCTCTTCTCGGTGATGTCCAATGATAGGACAAGGGGCAACAGGTGCAAGCTGGAGCACAGGAGGTTCCGTATTAACATAAGGAAAAACTTTTCCACTCTGAAGGTGACAGAGCACTGGAACAGGCTGCCCAGAGAGGTTGTGGAGTCTCTGTCTCTGGAGACATTCAAAACCCTCCTGGATGTGATCCTGTGTGATCTACTTTAGGTGGTCCTGCTCTGGCAGGAGGGGTGGACTAGATGATCTCTCGAGGTCCCTTCCAACCCCTAACATTCTGTGATTCTGTGTGATTCTGTGATTTACGTGGTGGTGTGGTTGCAAAATGCGGACACTGATCCAGGAGGAATGAAAAAGCTCTCAACTTGTTAGGAAACAGTACCTTTACTAGATATAAATATTCTCTATGCTAATTCTTGGGCAGGGGTGGACAGGGACAGTTGAAGATGAGCATTTTTATAACGGTGTAAATACTGGGAATTATTGTTAAAACAGAATTGCAGGATGTTCCAGAGTTTTCTGAACTGCAGAAAGTTTGGGGAGTTACCTGGGAATTTAAGACAAAAAAATTCAGTTTTAAGGTATCTGTAAACTCTGTGAAGACAAATTTCCTTTGTACTACAAAAAGTCTGGCCTCTCTGATCAAGCCTCTGCAAATAGGAGCTGTACTTCTTAATTTTTATTGACAAATAATGTAATTAATAATACCTTCCCCCATATATCTTTGGCTATAGGATCTGAAGAATTTTTAAAATACTGATAATCATTAAATTGTGCCTGAGAGCATTCACACAGAGATCTAAATTTAAGATACACTGCTTGCCAACTTCATGCGTTTCGTTAATTTTCTCTGACTTTCTTGATAGTTCCCCAGTATAGAATTCTGTTGTTCTGGTTTTGCTGCTTTAACAGAGCAACAGAACAGAAAAGGCCAATTGCTGTGTTTTCATACCAAAAATTCTTTTGTCACTTTAAGTTAAAGCCATTAAGGTAAAAACATTTTAGGGTACCTGTAGCACAGCTGTGATAAAAGGTATTGCGTCTCATGAACATCAATAAATATTCAGTCTCACTGACTTACATGGACTTGTCAACAATGAATTGTTTTACTTAATGTGTTTCTAAATTTCAAATTGGAAGGTATTTCAAAATGGGTGTGAAATGGTGAAACAAGCAGAATTTTCTAACTAGCAAAACTAAGCTATTGATTGCAAGCATTTGCGTTCCTTATACAGTAAGAGTGTCACACTTTCCATAGCCTTGTGCAGAGAAATTAGAAGTTAGAAATTAGAAGATCAGGTTCGTGACTACATGAGGAACCTGAACATCTATGAGACCTGACAAGATGCATCCCAGAGTTGTGAGGGAATTGGCTGATGTAGTTGCCAAGCCACTCTCCATGGTATTTGAAAAGGCACGGCAGTCAGATGAAGTCCCTGGTGACTGGGAAAGGGGAAACATTGAACCAATTTTTAAAAAGGGTAGAAAGGAGGACCCTGGGAACTACTGACCTGTCAGCCTCACCTCTGTGCCTGGGAAGATCATGGAACAGATCCTCCTAGAAGCTATGCTAAGGCACAGGGAGGTGATTCGAGACAGCCAGCGTGGCTTCACCAAGGTCAAGTCCTTCCTGACTGACCTCGTGGTCTTCTGTGATGGAGTGACTACATCTGTGGACAAGGGAAGAGCTATGGATGTCATCTGTCTGGACTTCTGTAAGGCCTTTGACATGGTCCCTCACAACACCCTTCTCTAAATTGGAGAGATGGATTTAATGGGTGGAGTGTTCAGTGGGTGAAGAATTGGTTGGATGGTCATATCCAGATGGTAGTGGTCAACAGCTTGATGTCCAGATGGAGATCAGTGACAAGTGGCTATGATTCTAAGTTGGTGAAACCCTGAGGTTTCAGTCATTAAGGTAGTGTGTCCATCCTTAAGGTAGTATATTGATTGTCAATCCATTTGTTTCTTCTTTCTAGATTACCCATTGCGAGGGAGCTGTTACACAAACACTAATGGATGGGCCAGCACAACGAATACAGATTGTCCCTGCAGATTCAGGCCTCTCTTTACCACAACGTATACAGGTATGCTTCATCTGATATATTTTAAAAGCAGAGATGAACTAATTATTTCTGCGAGTTTGCACATATGGTTCTTTTTTGTTTGTGTCATATTATTTGATTGAATGTAAATATTCACCCCTGGGTGGCAGCAACCATTTCTATATGAACAGGAATAAAACATCATTCCAATGCTTCTGTTTTTTTTCTCTTTTTTTTCTCCTGAAAATTTTAAGATTTACAAAAAATTATAACTACTGAGCAGAGAAAGGTTTCTCCCAATACTGTAATGATACTGCTCTTTAAAAGCTGAATAATTTTTATGTTTGGTAATCCAACTAAATTGTTAGAACATGTCTACATTTTGGAGCAGGGAGGGAGGGAAATACTGCATTGCCTCGTGGGTACAAGCCATGAAAAAAAGTGCAGGGCAACCTAATGTCTGAGAAGGATACTGTTTTTTGTTATCCCAACCAATATTATATGTCCCAGTATGCTAATTTATAGCCTGGCCAGGCAATAATCTCCAGTTCAGGTGAGGGTAGGAAGATCTTGGCAATGGGGGTAGTTAAATCAACATAGATATGTGGGTGTGTAAATTAGGAGGATTTGGGGAATAGAATTTTATATTTTATCCCTTAAAAGTCAATGCAAGTCCTTGCAAATGTTTTATTTTTAAATTTCATCCTAGAGAAAAATATCAACTGCAGAAGAAATTTTAAAACTGTTCTCAGATATATATTTTTGCATACAAACACACCCTCATTTAAGCGAGCCAGCTGCTAGTATAGTTCTGGCTGCTTTTTCTTTTGCTGGCTTCACTCTTCAGTATTTTCCACTGTTTTTTCCTGTTTCAGCGCATTGCATTCAAGCTTTCTCCTACCTTCCAAGACTCCTCACGATGCCCCCCATACATGATCTTTTTTTTTTTTTTTATCACCTCCTACCTGTGCTGTAGTCATGGTACCAGTCTTATCTGTCCAGTAGATCTTTATTCTTTCAGCAACCTCCACTCCTTTTCTGTGCTTTGTGTACAGCTGTACCTTTTATTAACTAATTTATGTTAATCAATTAACCACCATCTCTTTATCCTCTGTTTTCATTGTCAATACCTGTATGCTCTAAAGTCCCTGAAGTGTGAAGGCATTTAATGTAATTTCAGTGTCAGTGTCTGAATGTGGGATGATGACATATAAACCCATGAGACTTTATTGTTGAACAGCAGGACAGTTCTGTTGGTTCAAAGCCAGTGGCAGACTTCTAACCCTTCTGTGTCAGCTTTTTGTAGGGGGAGAACTACTTCTGGTTAGGCACGTAGTCACTGCAAATATGATGAACATAAAAGAATTGTATTTCTAGGGACAGGGGCATTTATATAGTTTTTCATTGTGTCATGTAGCTGGAAGATCACTTGTTTCTAACCCAGCTACTTTGTCCCTTGTCTTTTTTCAACACGCTCATTGATTCTTGCTTCAAAACAGATGGTAAGCGCTTTAGGGCACTGGTTGTCTCTTGATATGTGTGGAACAACACTCAGTCAAGTGGCATCCTTCCTGCGATAGGCATCTACAAACATATCACCACTATCAATAATAATAAATTAGATATGAGATAGAACTTAGTAGTGAAAACTTTCCTCAAAGCAGAATTTATGTGAAGACTAAAGTAGTTTGTAGGAACATATACATCTCAATGAAATGTTCAGTGTTAAATTGATTCATTTTGAGTTTATATTTTCAGTCAATGTTTTTTCCTTTCTTATTGTTAAATGCACATGAATAATTGTCTGAAATACTGAAATATAAAATACTTAGTAAAATGTTCTTTAAAACATGTTTCATTAGTCATCCTTTTTAGCGAATGTTAACATTTCTTTAGGACAAAAGTTGAATGTCACATTTGTTGTTAAACAGACATTTCTGTTCAAAACCGGCTCTGTTATAAACAGGTGTATTAGTCCGCTGTGTTTAGGCACAGAGGACTATTTTTTTTCTAAAATAGGAACACAGAATTATTGAGGTATCTTAATTTATTGAAATGATGTTCAAATGGAAGTCAAAACTTGTTAACCAACAAGGCTTAAAGGCAATAAAGGAAAATACTATCCTCCATTATAATCAGGGTGCTTAAATGAAATACAGGGGAAGTGTATTTTTTAAGCAGACAATCCTGAATTAATATATTCCTGGTTTATAATGTTATCCCTTTAGCAATATTGAGTTTCAGATTAGTAAGAAACAGTGTTGTCACTGAGCCCTGATGGATTCCCTTGAGAAGATAAGTGGTTTTCTTTTTCCCTCTGATTATTGTTTTTCTCTTATCTCAACATTTAGGTACTGCAAGTTGTTACACTTTGGTGAACTGCTCTACTTTTCAGAGTCCTATTGCAATTTAGGTGGAGTTTTTGCAGGTATATGGCCATAAGAGGTCAGCTGCAGACAGACTGTGCTTAATGGTTTAAAGTCCTTTCTCTCATGCCTCTGTCAGTTGTCAGATGCTTGACAGCTGCAGAAACCATTTGTGCAGATTGAATAGCTTTGTATGGATATTAACGTAACACTAGACCTACTGTATCATGTAGTGAAAACTACGTGGGCATCCTCCTAGAATTTGAAAAATTGTGATACTATTTGTTGAATAGGAAGTGGATTGTGTGAAATAGCAATGGTCCTTCTGCCTACTCTCCCGCCATATTTGTCTACAAATACGTACCTTTTTTAAATTACAGAGCTGGACTACAATAGGAAAAAAGGTAATTTAGGATCTATATCCAAAAAATAATTTCAACTTTAGTTCAAATTTGTGTCTTCACTGTTTGGGACGTGCTGGTTTTTGAGTTAGTTTTATACTATACTTTGTATAAACATAACTAAATCACATATATGCCTTTTTTGATGAATACATAGTTGAACTTTTAAATTTTGATGAGGAGACAGATTTTAGATAAGAATGTCTTTCAAAGAACAGGTCTGGAAGTTCAAGAAACAGCACAATATTCTGTGTTTGGCTTTTGTACATGTAAGCACTCTGTTGAGGATAACATGCATTGGATTTCTCCTAATCCAAATAAAATAGATGTGTTTGGAAAGGAACATCAGCTACTTTGAAAATAGCTAGAAATGACATATGAAAAATAAAGATTGTAATTAAAGAAAAAAGGAATGGAAGGAGAAAGTTAAGCAAAGAAGGGGATTAAAAGGGCAAGGAAGTTCGCCTTGTAAAAAATACAGAACGAACATAAAGCAATTGAGAGGAAAAATACGGGACTGCTGTAGTAATATGTGGTCCTGGACATGTGGATATCTGAGAAAACTGAATGGAAAACCCTGTATTAATCATGTTGCTAACTATTGTGGGGGTTTTGCATTGTCTTCCCACCCTACACCCTAAATCTCATGATAATTGCTGTTCTTTTCTTACATCTTTAGCATCTAGAATTTTATCATCTTACTTGGACTTCTTTCTTAAATAAGGTTTTAATTGTGTTTTGCAGAGGAAAAAAATGGAAATTTGATCCATTAAAATGTTAATAGCAAAAGGCCACCTGAAGGAAACACATTCCTTTTGTATATTTTGAAATTAATAATTTCTGAATATTTTAAAGTGGCAGTATCGATCTATAACTGCTGAAATTAGATTCTCAATTTATATATCTTGCTGCATATCTGTTTAAAATGTAAGCTATACCCAGGTTTTTGAAACAAATTTAAGTATATTGAACATTTAGAGAAAGTAATAACCTAGTTGTAAAGGTGCGATAGCGAAGTTGGCAGACTTGTGCAAAATTATGCCTCATTCAGTTTCTTTGTGCCCCTGTTCACCTAGAAAATACAATTGATATTGCTGTCCTAATTGCATGAAACTAGTTATGGTAAGTGCTAGACCGTGAAATAAATAATTTTGTCAGTAATAAAGACCATAGAAATTGTAGGGATGGGTAGATGAACATATATGTTTGGTTATTGGTAAAAAAAAAAATAAAAAATAATAGGAGCTATTCTATTGATCTGTAATTCAAAAATAGTTTGCAGGAAAGTCTTTGTAGGATGATTCTCCTTAGTCTCCACAATAAACCAGACAGTTTTCCATGTAGGCATTTTGATGGAGAAAGGCAGGAAGTGACTAAAAGTGAGATTAATAGTGGAAGATATAAGGAATCTTCATTATTTTCTCTGAGGATTATAATCTTCTGACAAAGTTGGCAAAAAATGTAGTTTAGTGGAGGATTATTAATATTTAATAAAGTTCTGTTGTATTTGTGCTTGAAAATAGGATAAAATGGAAAAAAGTTTGTAGGTCTGTTCTTGATTATGAAATTAAACATGAGAATGAGTTTTTCCTTTAAAAAAAAAAAAAAAAGGAGATTCTGGTTTACTTATTTCATTTAAGAATATATATGTAAAAAAAAGCTCCCCCAAAATGAAGCCTGAAATGTGTATACAGATGCAACAAGATTATTGCTTTTTGTGTTGTTTGATGCTTACTTTTTTTCACTTGGAAGTCTCATTTTTGTTTTTAAGAAGTTCTTTTGTTAAGCAGGCAAACCTGGGAGGTGCTAAGCACTTCACCTGGTACGCAGTGAATTTGAGAGTTAAGATTCCTCATAACCTGACAGGTCCTAGGGCTGAACTACAGACATGTCTTGAATTCTGGATGTTAGAATTGTCAAGGATTTCAGTAGTGTTGTAAAAGCATGGGCCAGTTGTAAAAATTAAACATGAACTCAGGTTTTGACTTCAAACACCCTCGATTGAAATGTGTTTCAAATACAGTGAAAATCAAAGGTTTCACCTGAGTTTACTTCACTCTTGTGTGACAGAGGGAAAAGATCCTGCTTCACAAATGTCAAAGGCAAAATTCCCGTTTTCTTTAAATGCCCAGATTGGGCCGCAAAGGTGAACTTAAATTACCATAACAATTTGAGATAAATGTATTGTTAGATTGTCACAGATCAGCAGACGGGCCAGAAGATTCAGATTGTTACAGCACTTGATCAGAGCTCAGCAGGCAAGCAGTTCATCTTAACAAATCATGATGGCTCTACCCCAAGCAAGGTGATCCTTGCCAGACAAGATTCCACTCCAGGAAAAGTTATCCTAGCAACTCCAGATGCTGCAGGTGTCAACCAACTGTTTTTTGCATCCCCTGATATATCTGCACAACACATCCAGGTAGATAATCCACTTTATTTCATAATTTTGGTTCAAATGGGATAAGAAGAGATGTTTTATTTTCAAATATGTCTGTCTGAGTTCTCATTTTTTGATTTTTTTTAATTGTATACTTTTCCTTGCACTAGGACTGAGCATGGATACTTAGAAATTATGAAGATTTTTTTTTTTTCATAAATGTGTTGCTTTTAAAACTTACACCCTGGCTCATGACATTAGAAAGAATACTGTTATTGTGATTTCCAGCTCCTGCCATACCAACAGTCCTTTATTTCTGCTTCATTGACTCTCCATCTGTTTTCATGTATTGTTAAAAAACATGCTCTTTTCTCTATTGTCTTTATCACTTAACATTTTCTTCTGTTTGTTTTCGTACACTTTTATAACTGCTGTTCTGCTGTGCGAATTGTGCTCCAAGGTAGTTTCTCAGAGAGACTGTTTAGTAGGGAAGTGCATTCATTACTCCATGGGGATGGGAAAATAACACTAAAGATTTTAGGTTTACTAATGCGAGATTGTAATTAGCCAGGGTTGTAACTCCCTAAACTGGTGTCCCCAGTACACCTCACTCCCATTGTTTACCCATGTACGTTTATCCTTCTGTTAAAATACTTCAGTGTGGTAGGCCAGGCAACATTAGGATAGCTACCGTCCAAACGATGGCCAGAAACAGTTGCTTAAGGAAAAAATATTAAAAAGCGGACAAATAAATGATTCTGTATTAGCTATTAGGAAGAAGTTCTTTACTGTGAGGGTGGTGAGACACTGGCATAGGTTGCCCAGAGAAGCTGTGGCTGCCCCCTCCCTGGCAGCGTTCAAGGCCAGGCTGGATGGGGCTTTGAGCAACCTGGTCTAGTGGGAGGTGTCCCTGCCCATGGCAGGGGGGTTGGAACTAGATGATCTTTAAGGTCCCTTCCAAACCAAACCATTCTGTGATTCTAAATAATGATCCTTCTGAGCATGTCCTTTCACTTCCATTTGCTGATGATCTAGAGCAACCTCCTAATTTGGAGACTGCAGTGAGACCGTCATATTTGGTAGCAGCCACTAAAGTTTAACAACCTTTTTTGCTATTTATATAGACTAGAAATACTTTGGTCTGTATAATATCTTACAGTATAATCGTATATTGTGCAAAGAAGACTTTAGTTGATTTGGTCTTCTGAGGGAAGTATTTAAGTGTCTCTTGCACTGTAAGAAACAGCTATAAAGGATCCCATTGTTTTTATAACCTCTATTATATCCTCTTTCAGGTAATCTCTTTTCAACTGAAGACCACTGATCTTTTTAGTTTGTGCTCTTCTGGGAGCCAGTCCACTACTCTGATGTGCTACCCACATGTTGTGTAAACTTGAAAACATATCTCTGTATTATATCTTACATATTTATTTTGAAACTCAAAAATCTTTGCAAATGGACATCCAAGGTCCTTGCTCCAAAGAATTTGATTGCTATGAATAGGGGAGCAGTAGCAAAAGCCAATCCTACTGAGAGGCATTTGAGCGTGTTCGGTGGTATCGTACACCTTATATGTTACGTAAACCTTAACAACAGTATAAACCAGTAGGATATGATTTGAAGTAATCCATATAAAAAATTATTTTCAAAGACAACTTGAGAGATGAGAAGTGTGCCACACTGTTTTAAAAGGCAAAATTCAGGATCAGGGGAAGTCTGGACAAAAAAAAATGAAGGCTCTAGTTCTGATTGTAGAGTTCAGGCAAAATAGGTTAGTTTGAGAGGCAACAGAGTATTCTGTCCCTTTAGTTAGATTGTTCTATTGTCAGCTAATGTGTATGGGCAGAGATTTCTTTTTTCCTCTTAAAGTTTGTGAAATACAGAGTACTATTCATTTGTTGTTCAACTGCATCCTCTTTGGGATCTTTCATATTTTCTCCCCTAAATGATCTTTTCATCTGCAATTTCACCTTTTTTGTTGTTCTTCTGTAGCCTGCACTTGAAATGGCCATTCATTTTCTCCGCAAAAAACCTCTCCTTTATTGCGTCTTACCTTTACATTGACTCATTTGGCAAGGCCCTTTCTCCCATCATCTGTTTTACCTTCAGTGGCTCTTCTCCATCTTAGTAATCAATTTTTATTCTTCATGTTCAAGGTCAGTTGAGTTCTCCAACTCTGGAATTTTCATCTCCTCATGGGCCCAATTCTGTAGTCCTTCTTTATGTGGAACTTTCCCTTTCAGTACAGTTTTCATTTATGGAAGGACATAGAATTTGTTTATATATATTTTATATAGTATCATGAAAATACATAATGTTAATAATGGAAACTAGGAAGGAACAAAAGGTTATTATTCTTTTAACTTTTCAATATTATTTTTCTTAAAAAGATGTTACATTAAAGAAAATTTAGTAGATGAATCTGAGACAGTATTGTTAACAGAGGCTAACCAGAAAGCAGTATGCTCATTGAATGTTCCCTTACATATCGTCTATACTATCTTCCAAACTTTCTAAAAATGTGGTTTCTTAATTTTCTCTGGAGAAGATAGGGTACTTTCTCCTTCAGTAAGTTTTTTATCAGAGGTCCTGTTTTGAATATGCAAAGCAAGAATGAGAGAATCTGACTTCCCATTAAGACACAGCAGAAGTTAGAAACTCTTAAAACTTCTAAACTATAATCTCTTTTTAAGGGAAGAATAATATTTTCTTTTCTGCTTTACGTAATTGCCAAGATGATGTTTGGTTATTACTTGTGATATGTGTGTTCGTTTTTTAAATTGAATTTTTGCTGTACTTTATTTATGTTGCAGTGGGATAGAGTTTTTAAAGATGAAACGGAAGGCTATAGCACTTACGCTGTGGTGCTGGGGTTCTAATATTATGTGCTTAATGAAGCTTTACAGGTACCAGAGATAAATGAATGAGACGAGACAAGAATGCTGTAATAACGTCAAACTGTTACTGAAAGCCAAACTATATACCACTTGATAGTTAGTGTCCAGAGTACATTTTGTGTTGGTCCCCCATTTATGTGTATTATGAAAAAAAGGGTTTGGCAAACCTGAGTGTAGATATAGTAGCCTTTACAAGGGATTGTTTGGTTCTGTTTAATGCTTCAGTCTCTTTTGTACTAATGAACAAGTCATCAGGATATGAATACAGAGCTGAACAAAAGGTAAGAGTATGCAGATGCTAAATGTTTTTCAAAATGTCAGTACATTTTGCAGAGGTAGTATTTAGATAAATCTTGAATTCTTTTCAGAAGTATTACAAGTAAAACTTTTGTTCCATCCTGAAAAGGAGCACAGTGGCATGGCAGGTAGCTAGCTCCTTTGTGTCTATGAAGACTGTAAAATGTAGTCAAGAAATCCTTATGCTTTGTACATTTGGTCCCCTATCTTAGAGAAAAACCACAACCGTGAGATATATTTTAATCTTTCTTGATGATAAGAAAAAGAAAAATTAAATTCTTCCACATTTTTTTCCAGATTTTAACAGACAACTCCCCCAATGAACAGGGCCTAAATAAGGTGTTTGATCTATGTGTTGTATGTGGAGACAAGGCATCAGGTATTTACTTTTTTTTTTTTTTTTTTTGAGGCGGCACAATTTTGTAAAAGCAGTTTAAAATTCTTCTGAAGCTGTATAACAGTTTGCATGCGTATACATAGATATGTATCTTTTTATACATGCACAAACAGAAAGGATACACTGCTCTTTTAGTGGTGAATTACACTAAGTGGTACTGTGGTGTCCATGGGTGGGAGTTGTTGTTTTACATCTTAAATTCAGTGTTTTCTACCAGATAATTTTCACCTTTTTTTCTTAGGCTGATGCATTTTATTTTCTATTCTAAAAATTTGGCTGATAATATTACTTAAGCAACAACGTTGAGAGTTTTTCTTCCTTAACATAAGGTTGTGCAGTGAACTCTTATCACTGTTGATGGATTCTCTTAAAATATGCGACAAACCTGTTTGTTATTTTAAATATGAAACCAGTAGGTGAGGAAGACTTTGCAAGTCTAATACAAGATTTATGCAGGACAGTTGGTTATTTGAAGAGCCATTATTAAAATTGTATCAATGCATGATAATTCCAGTTAAAAAAAAGCTTAAGAATGGTATATTCATATGTTGCCAAAGCGGAGTGCTAAGGTAAGAAAAGAAAAAGTTCTGTGCACTAAATTTTGTGTAATGCTATTAAAAGACTGGAAAGAAATATAGTGGGAGCAGTGCAATGGAGAACTCATCTCCCACATTCCCTTTGCACCTGCCATCAGGTGTTCCAGATCTGTCAGAGTTGGAATTACTGAGAGGATGTCTTTTTTATTTAAAAAAATAAAGTCAGAGAGAACTACAAGGGCTGTTCCTCAGTGTGGTTTAGCTGAAAGCTCCTTTTTCTTTGCACTTTCTTTGTTAGAAAAGATAATGGGGTGTAAGAGAGATGAGACATTTTAACTTTGCTCTTTACTTACTTAGCTAAAATTAGTCTAAGTAGGGAAATGGTTGCTCCATTAGAAGATTCTTGTGGTTTGTCAGTGAAGTCTGTATAATGGACCTCCAGTAATATCCAAATATGACAGCTGAACTTAAGTGCTCCTTTTGGGAAGCCTTGGGAATAAAGTGTATAAAAATAGGGGGCCAGGGGGAAGAAGTAGTTAATGTTAGGATATCATCATGAGAAGTAGTAGGATGGGGAGCAAACTTCCTAGGAAATAAAACCAATTAAAATTTTTCTACTATGGCAATGTTTAGGATTAAAAATATAGTTCCTAGAGCTCTAAATACAGGTCAGACTTCACCCATCTCAAAGGAAACTTCTGCCAAGCATAAGGCAAAGATCTGTTTGGTCTACTCCACTTGGCGAGACTCCTCTGGCTCCTCAGTGGAGGGCTGGAGTGTTGCTTCAGGGGCTGGACATCTCAGCAGCTATTCCTCCTGTCCTGGCCTAGGGATATCGAGCAGTGGTAGTGAATTTGGGGAGAGTGCCATGTTGCCCTGAGCAGCTGCAGGTTCCTGGGAGCCTCCCATGTGACCAGCAGTCAAACTGCTTTGCAGACATCTCCAAGCTGGAGTCCAAGAAGCTACATCAAACAGCAGGTGAAGCAGCAGCCCAGGTGCTTTGCAGGATGGATATTAGTATTCACAATCCAACTGCTATTAAAATGTTTCACTTAGTAATATTCTTTTAATATATGATGCTTTCTAAATTTCACATTTTAATAGTGTGTTAATATGGTTGTGATAAAGGAATCTAGAAAGCCTATCAGAATTTCTAGAAACTTCAGGCAGACGAGATTGTTGTATCTAAAAAAAAGTTTGTGAGGAGTGAGGGAAGAATCTAAAAATATATTTTCCCTTAAATTAGTTCATATTTGAGATTTTTTTCTGTAACGTGTCCTACTTAGTTCAAAGAACAGCCTTAGTGGCACCGCAGTATGTATTTTGAGTGTTTGTCTGTGATCTTTGGTTTTAGAGTTCTTTTTTTTTCTTCAGGATTATAGAATTAAAATTGTTGGAATCGCCAAGTATGTCTTAATCAAAACCAGTACTTTTTACTAATATTTGTGTTTTGTGCTATAGCAGAATCAAAACAATGTATTTCTGAAAAATAATTTTTGAACTTGACTTTCTTCTGTAGTATGTCCTAGAATTTTTTATTATTAGAAAATTCACAGAAGAACTGATATTTAAAAAAATATTTAGCTAGTTTAGATTATTCTTTCATTGAAGTTTTGCTGAAAGAACTAAATGTACCATTACCCTGTTAGGAAAATGAAAGTTCAACATAAAGCTTTGAAGTGATTACCTACTGCTGTCAAATGTCCATGGCACCATTAGATTTAATCATACTGTTTTGACAGGTGAATTTGTAATGAGCAATAACAGGGCTTGACTGCGGGGACATTTAAAAAAATGCTAAAGACTGTATAAATTAAAAGAGTTTCTTCTATGTTATTGCTAACTGGTTTTCTTAGCTTTTTTAACACTGTTGTCAACAGATTCAGCAAGAATTTAATAAGCAACTTACCTATTTGTAAATTCTGTCTTGTTTAAATGCTTTGAACTAAAAAAATGGTTCACTTGCTTTTTTTATATTGTTTTGTAGCCACGATATATTCTAAGATGTGTAATTTATGGGGGGAAAAGTGTGGGGGGGGTCTGGGTAAAATAGCAAATAATCTGTTTTTAATAAATAAAACTCTAAAAAAATAATATTACAGTGTAAAATCTATGTTGTGATTTCCATTGTTTTGTAACTAGGGCGTCACTATGGAGCAGTAACTTGTGAGGGATGCAAAGGATTCTTTAAAAGGAGTATACGGAAGAATTTAGTTTATTCGTGCCGAGGCACAAAAGACTGTGTTATTAACAAACACCACCGGAATCGATGTCAGTACTGTAGGCTGCAGAGATGCATCGCATTTGGGATGAAACAAGATTGTAAGTCTGCATAAGTGTAAATTATTTTAGCTGGCAGCTATATTGCGTGCTGCAAAAGATATGCTTTGTATTAATACAAATTGTTATTTTGATTTTATATTTTTAAGTCATTGTATCTTTTTCCTTTAAAGAATTATACAAGATTGGTCTATCAGAAGTCTGAAATGTTTTCAGGCATACATATGGCTTGACAAACTTAATAAGCACATTGCATGTGGTAAAAGTGAATGAATTCTTATTCCTAGGTGGCAAATGTCAAGCATGTCTCCATCTTCGAGTTTTATATATGCAGTTCAGTTTTTCTGTGCATAAATTAAGCTATTGAATGTTTTGAATCCTTCTGCTTTCTTGTCCGTTTTTCCACAACGGAGATTACTGACAATTGCTGTTCATTTTTGGAGATAGGTGATGAGTGGCGTCCCTCAGGGGTCCATACTGGGACTGGAGCTGTTTATTATCTTCAGCAGTGACACAGACAGTGGGATCAAATGCACCCTCAGCAAGTTTGCAGATGACGCCAAGCTGAGTGGTGCAGTTGACATGCCTGAAGGGTGGGATGCCATCCAGAGGGACCTGGACAGGCTGGAGAGGTGGGCCTGTGTGAACCTCATGAGGTTCAACAAGACCAAGTGCAAGGTCCTGCACCTGAGTCAGGGCAACCCCTCGTATCAATACAGGCTGGGGGATGAAGGGACAAATTAACTGAGTCCTTTACGAATTAACTGAGAATGTGGGATAATGAAATTGAGAGAAGGAGAAGCCATACAGGCTGGGAGATGAAGCTGCCCTACTGAGAAGATCTTGGGGGTACTGGTGGACGAAAAGCTGAACATGAGCCGTCAATGTGTGCTCACAGCCCAGAAGGCCAACGGTATCCTGGGCTGCATTAAGAGAAGTGTGTCCAGCAGGTCGAAGGAGATGATTTGTTGGAGCAGGTCCAGAGGAGGGCCACAAAGATGATCAGGGGGCTGGAGCACCTATCCTATGAGGACAGGCTGAGAGAGTTGAGGTTGTTCAGCGTGGAGAAGAGAAGGCTCCAGGAAGACCTTATAGCGGCCTTCCGGTACTTAACAGGGGCCTATTAAAAAGATGTGGGCAATCTTATTAGCAGAGCCTGTTACGATAGGAAGAAGAGTAATGGTTTTAAAGTAAAAGAGGGCAGATTTGATTTAGACTAGAGATAAGGAAGAATTTTTTTACAATGAGGGTATTAAAACACTGGCACAGGTTGCCCAGTGAGATGGTAGAAGCCCCATCCCTGGAAACATTCAAGGTCAGGTTGGACGGGGCTCTGAGCAACCTAATCTAGTCAAAGGTGTCCCTGCTCACTGCAGGAGGGTTGGACTAGATGACCTTTAAAGGTCCTGTCCAACCCAAACCATTCTCTAATTTTATGATTTTTGTAAAGCTCTGCAGAGACAGTTATTCACAAAGCAGAGATCCATAGTGATCCAGAGTTCAGTTCTTACCGATTCCTGCAGATTTCAAGTTCCTTTTGAGATTTCGATACAGTGGGTGTAGTGATATTGCAATACCACAGCAGTACCAGAATACCAAATACACCAAAAATCAAGCAGTAAACAAATTCTCCAGCCCTGATACTGCCATGCCATTGATATACACGCAGTATTAGTCATGCTCTTCTCTCTGCCATCCAGCTCTTTTGCTGACCCTCTTGAACCTCTATGGACATTCCCTTCCTGTAAGGGGAATACTGAGCAGAGAAGAGGATTGTTTTGGGATGAGAAGTCTCATTCCTCAGTGGAGTAGGGAGAGGAAAGAAAACTCAGCATCATCTTGTACTGTAGCTCCCTCAGTGGGGTTATTTATCCCTTGAATAAGTCTTGGCCCTTTCTCAGCAAACTCAGATCCAGCTAGCAAGCACAGGGTTAGCAAAGGAAGATAAAAGGCTTTTGCCTCCAGCTCCCACCCTTTTAAAGCACGATTCATGGACTACAGGCTAGGTTTAATGGCATTATCTGTACTTGATGATACTATGACATTTGGTTTTATGATACTCACTGATTTAAAAATTCAAATAACATCACAGTCTGCTACTAACTGGAAAGCTTTTTAATTTTTTTTCTCTAGTTACACACTTTCCAAAACTGCATAATCGAGGAAAAAAAATGTTCGTTTTTTTCCTATTTGCTTTTGTGTTTTGAAATAGTGAACATTCAGGATTCTCTTTATAGGCTTAGCAGTTTCTATGTGCAGTACAATATTAAAGAGACTGCCAGCCAGTAGTCAGTGCTTATCAGGCTAGTAAATTGGTGCATATTTTAAATTATGTATGGGTTTGTGACTCTCTTCCAGGATCTTACTCAAATCTATAAAATTACTTGTACCACTTTATAATTGTGGAAGAACAACTTACTGCATATTTTTTAAAAATTTGTACACTGTAAATACCTTTTATTAATTAAGTTTTATAGTAACAATGTTATGTTACTGTTGTGTTCTTTTTCCAGAAATTAAATTTTCCTTTTAAACTTTTAAAATCAAACTGTAAACTGGTTTTTTTTTTTGGCTTTATTCCGGAGACCTAGAACGTTCCCCATAAGATATAATACTGTGAGTTTCATTTCAGTGTTCTCTAATCCATCCAAAGCAAGGTGATGTATCTGTAGGCAAAAGCCCAGATTCATTCCACCTAGTTTCAGTGAGCTATTCAAATTAAAAATCTGCTGCTTCTTTGAATTCAGTGATTGTGGGTCAGGATCTTTTGTTGACCAGATCTTAAATGGTCTGGACTGAACTTTGTGAATGTCCCTTTCCCTCTGTATTGTCCAAGGTCCTAACTTGAAAAGCTTCTTTTAAGTTCATAAAGTTATGTGGGTTCAACCCAGACCTGCAATGAATGGAAAAGAGTACCATTACGAATTAACTGAGTCCTTTTACGAATTAACTGAGAGTGTGGAATTAACTGAGAATGTGGGATAATGAAATTGAGAGAAGGAGAAGCCATAAGCCTCCACTTAAAGATTCAAATTAAAATTAAGGTATAAGGGGATTTCTCCCTTAATTGTAACTTAAATTCATTGTAACTAATTTGTAACTAAAAATTCAGTGTCTTTATGTTTGGTCTCAGACTTTGACTACTAGCTCATTTCATTAAGAACAAATCAAATTGGTGTGTTGTTTTTTACCCAAGTTGTTAGCTTATTGGTTACGGGATTTATTAATTTTTTTAGTTATTTTCAGAATCATTATTAAAATTGCAGATTAAATAAAGAAAAGGAAAAAAAAGGATCATTTCTTCGTTTGTAATTTGGAATGTGTCTTAATAGTTGCATATTGTTTTGTTAGCTGTGCAGTGTGAGAGGAAACCTATTGAAGTGTCAAGAGAAAAATCCTCAAACTGTGCAGCTTCTACAGAAAAGATCTACATTCGGAAAGATCTTCGTAGTCCATTAGCTGCGACTCCAACTTTTGTAACAGACAATGAAACAGCAAGGTATGTAAATTCTCCTCAGAAGCAGCTATATCTCTTTCCTGAAACAGGGAAAATTAATTTTAAAATTGATCAAAATTAAAATATGTGCTGTTTTGTGTCAGATCAACAGGTCTGCTGGAGTCGGGAATGTTTGTTAACATTCATCAGTCTGCAATAAAAAGTGAGCCCACTGTGCTGATGACTCCTGATAAGGTATATGGTGATGTGACCGATAGATTGAGTTGATAGCTGGAATTGTGTATGTAGGGAGGGAAGGGTGTTCTGGTTTGTTGTACCTCAGTTATATTAAATTAATTTTTAAAACACTCCTTTACAACATTAGCCAGTGGTGCAAACGCCTTCTCTTCACAAGAATGCTTTTAGCTTTGCATAGTAAAAAATGCTAAAAACTCTACAAAGTAAATGCCTTCCTCCACATTTTTAGAGACCTTTAAGGGCTGTGTTGTTTTTCTTTGTGTTGAGCAATCCTGACACTTGGATATTTCTTTTGTGCCAATGAAGTGAGGTGTTTGCAAAACCTCACGTGGCTTTATTGCGGTGTATTTCATAAATAGTTAGGTTTTTTCCCCCCCTGAATCACTAATTTTTCTGCAATGCTAATAAGAGCTATCTCACCAACAGTCTTATTTCTGAGCTGGTTTTCCTTTGTTTCCATTTTTGTTACATTTACTGATCCACTAAAGACATGTGGTAACTTCCCTGCACATGCATGGTGGGAAGCTTTTGTATTTTTCTAGCCTTGCTTGCTCTGTCTGCAAAGGGCCCCATCAAAAGTTGTTTATTCCACTTTACTTTTCTGGCTCTGGCTGTAGAGTCCTTATTAATTTTTTTTTTTTGTGGGCAGAGTGGGAAACATGTCTTTCTGCCTCTCTGAGTTGCTGGTCAGTACTGAGTCACATTGTTCCCTTGCAGTTAAATAAAGACGTAACATCCAAAAAGGCCGCATCGGAATTCTTTTTCTGCTTGCTTTTAAAGCTGACTTTTTATCCATTCCTTCATTTCAAACATTTTCCTGCCCTATTACTACTGAGTCATTTACACGAGGAAGGAAGATGCTGAAAATATAATCTAGTGCAGTCTTATAGTCCTGGTGACTAACTAGTGAGTGGAGATGATAAATTCTGTTTCTGCACTTGCTTACCATCTGTAGCATTCTTTCTGAAAGAAATAGATAGCTATTACTTGTAAAAGTAAATGTCTAAATATTTCATATTGTAGAAGCAGTGCAGTGTCTAATTGCTGCATTATGATTACCCATTTACTGAAAACAATATTTTTCTTACAGGTCTATTCACATGCTTATTCCTTCATTTATGTAAAAGTTATGATTCTTCTACTGCAAGTTAGCTGCTGCCAATATGAGAGAACTAAAAGCTGTGCTTTTCTCTTAGGTCGAAGCATGTCAGGGAGATTTAAGTACACTGGCAAATGTGGTGACTTCATTAGCAAATCTCAGTAAATGCAAAGACATGTCACAAAGCAGTACAGAGCTATCTATGATTGAGAGTTTAAGTAATGGAGATGCATCATTATCTGAACTCCAGCAAGAAGAACAAGCTAGTAGTGATGTTACAAGGTAAGGCATGTTACACTTGAAAATACTATTCTTTTCGAGACGACCTCTGTCAATTCAGACCATTAGTTAAATCATCACAGTGTAGGAAATATACCTGCATTAAAAATAATAGTAATAACAGCCTCAGCTGATGTAGAGCATAAATCTTGTAAGATTGTTCTGAGTGAAATCGTAAGGAAGTTCCATTTGAGAAATAAATACTTTTAGTTGTTTGTACTTGAAATGAATTTCAATTTAAATATTACAACTGGTTTTCTTACCTTTTGGTTGACCTCAGTGTGTAAGATCTTGTACTATAGTCTTAGTACTTTGTATCATCCTGGAAAACTGTTTCTTAGAGATCTCATCTGTGTAAGCAGTTTAATGCCTGTAACTATTAATCGCCTTAAAAGCTTGAAAAGCATTTTCTTTCTATGCAGAAGTTGTCACGGAATTCTCACCATCCATACAAATACGTTCATTGAATATCTTACGAACTTCTGTCTTGCACTGGTTTTAACTGAGACATTTTGGTGAGCGTATGTGTAAGATACTCTGTATAGAACATACTCAGTTACTCCATCGATCACAGTCGTGTTCTTCCTCGGTTGTCATCTCATGCAAGCTTCTGACAGCTGTCCCAGCAATATTCCTTTACACACCATCTACATTATACATGCTGTTTTGAAAATGTATGTTTGGAGTAAATCCATCAGGGAAAAAAAAATTGGTAAATAGTGAAGTAGTTTGTACTGACTGAAATACAGGGTTTCTCCTGTGGTCTCTACCGCATTGTATAATTGCAAGCAGAATGCATTTATTCTTGCTCCTTTCTTTATATGCTGCTTAGAAAGTCAGCATGGCTTTCTATAGGTGCTGATCTGGGCCTTTGCTGTGTCTTCCTAGGTAAAGAAGTTAAGAATATGCTGTGTAAATAGTATTGTTGTACTTGCTGATAAGCTTCATTCAATACTATGGCTGTTCAGAAAGATGTAGTAATCTTTCATTGCTTTATTTCCTGGCACTTTCAGATGCTTGCTTTTGCCAACGGCAGTGTTTCTGTTCAGTTTTAAAAATCTGTCTATGAAAAGGCATCAAATTCTCTCAGCCAGGGAGCTTGAAAGATCGCTGACGCAGCTTAATGCATACTCTTGTCCAAGTAGGTTACCTAATAGATTTCCAGTGGAGAGGCTCAAGTTAAATATTCCTGTGAAAGGGAAGTTGTTACCCAAGCAGAAACTAAAATTTTTGTCTAAATCTTTGATTTCCTTGCCAGGCCCTATGCTGCCTTGATCTCGCAGACACAGATGTTTACTGAAGAAAAGGAGTTTAAGGGATTTCAGGAAGGACGTTTTATCCATCTGTGTTTTTCTTGTATTTTATTATATTTCATTGCTTGCAGCTACAGCAGTATACAACTTTGCTGCTAGCATTCTGCAGCTTTTACATTGCAACATTCTGTGCCTTGTCCTCTAATGGCTTCATTATCTATGTTCTTTTTTTTACAGTTCATCAGCAATCCTATGTATTTGTTAGTGACTGAGCCTGACAAAAAGAGAACTAAACTTGTTTCTAGCAAAGGATATCAATACCATGTGTTTTAATGTTGATTATATGTTTTTTTCTCACTTTGTGGGCTACGTTTTCATAGCTTCCCAGCAAGGTTTGTTCTAGATTCTCTTTTCCTTGGTATTTTACCTTGCAGCCGTTGCTCATGTTGGAGCTTGGTGTATGAAAAGGACCCACGATGCTGAGCCATGAGGAAGCAAAGCTTCTACTGACTTGTGCTGGCTTACTACTGACAGTTTATGAGCTAGGAAGGAGATTTCTTTGAAAGCAAACATCAAGAATATAAGTCGGAAACAAAGTATCATGGGGAGACAGGGTTAATCAGTGTACCTGCCCACCTATTTAAAAAGGACTCTTTGGCCTATAGTAGAATAAATACAGGATCGTGCAGCTGCATATGACATTTACCTTTTGAGGAAAGGGGAGATCTTGTTCCTCTCTTACATTTCTGTCCCTGCTACGTGAAGAGCCCTGCAGGGATCCTATTTTTCCTAAGAAGAAGCTGCTACTGAGCTGCTGGGTTTGCCTGTTCTACCTAAGGCTGCCAAGAGCAAGCCGCGGAGGACCTGAAAGTCAAATCTCCTAGCAGGAGTCCAATAATATAGCTTCTAGAGCTTGCCCATGCATGCATTCCCTTTATGCTTACTTTCCATATACCAGAGACAGAAAACATCCCACGTGTATCTCTGTAGTCCGCATATGTCTGTTTAGTCCACTTATGCATGCCCCAGTCACCCTCATGTGTACACATCAAGGTATACAGGCTGATGTAGGACCAAAAACTAGTTCATTTACCATCTCAAGCCTGAGGCAGTGTCAGTATTGTTGTGATGTTTCGTTTGGTCGTAAATGGTTATGTCCAACATAGTAAACATTTAGACTTTTTTTAGCTTGTTAATTTAGATAGCTATGGAGTGTAGAGGAGGAGGAGGTGGCAAAGTTCTACTCCAGACTTCGGCATTAAATCAGTGATTTTAGATTCTGTGGTAATAAACATGTCTGTAAACTGAGAATCAGCTCTACATACAAGCTGATAATCAGCTATTGTAAAGTTTTCAGACCTCAGTGCATAAGTTTTTCATGCAACACTGTATGCAAATGATACAAAGGATATGTCATCTGTCTGTAGGCAGTGGTCAAGTCTGTATATTTTTGATTGAATATATATCAGTTGTGGTTCGCAGGTGTATTCGTGAACAGCAAAACAACACATCTGTTGTCAAGCAGCAAAATAATGAATAAAATATCTGTGCTTGTCTGGCAGCTCCCCAATAATGTTTGTGCATGTGACAGGAGTCACTGCCCCACTTCAAAGGGTACTAAGGATGGTATTAAAAGCATGAGAGTGCTTTCTCTTACATATTAGAAACAGTCTTTTAAAGTTAAATTAAATAACTGAACCACAACTCATTGCTTTAAAAATACCCCAAACATATGCCGTTTATGTTTGAGTAGCAAAAAATCTGTAAAATTTATATGTGCATTAAGTTGCTTTTAACAGCAGTCTGATGATCATGTCCTCAAAACACTCATGCCAGCGCTCTCAGTAAACATTACTGAAGAGATCTTGAGAGGCAAACTGTGATTCAGCAGCACAGTCAATATGTCAAAACTGTGAACTTGTTGGCAACTAGTGTGAACAGGATCCGCTGCTAATTTTTGTTTCAGAGCAGCTGTAAGTTGGGAGTTTTCAGGGATTTAGTTCGGTTTCAGGTTCCTCCTAAATGCAGAGGAGGCAAGTTCCTCCTAAATTGAATCAATTTCTAAAATGGAGTTTATTTTCTGTTTGTTTATTTGTTTGTTGTGATCTTACAGAGCATTTGATACTCTTGCAAAAGCATTAAATCCAGGAGAGAGTGCAGCGTGCCAGAACTCTGAAAGTATTGAAGCCAGCGTACAGCTGATTGGTGGAGAAACAAGCATGAATATCGTTGAAATAGAGGGGCCACTGCTCAGTGATGCACATGTAGCGTTCAGGGTACTTAATACTTTGTTGACTATTTATAATCATTTTAACATAGTATTATAAAATAATGATCTGATTAAATCTCATTTTGAATTTCTTAGAAGAGTAACTATTTGTTCAGGTATTGGCATTCATTTCTGATGAATGCACCACTTTTGTTCACTGGTTAACTAGTTGTTTGGGAGAATGTACACCTCTCTTCAGTGGTTTAGCTGCACTGTTTATTTTGTAGCTCCTTACCTTAAAAATACTAGGTAATCCGTGCGAGAGGGTTTACTTAGACAAGTGTTGCCCAAAGCAGAGAGTCAGCATCCACATTCTCACTTGTTAGCAGGTGGATCTGATGCAATCCGCAACTGGATTTTGAGACTCTTAAGTATATTTTTCAGTTTCTGCTTTGTGAATGTGCCCTATTTTAGTATGGTTTTAATTGACTTTAATCATTAAGGAAAAATACTGGGGGTTTGTTAGTGAGCCATATATTTTCTGGCTTTATTTCTTATTTTATGAGCCTGCAGAAATTCTTCTATTCATTATTATTCATGGACAAATCAAAAATCTTGCTCATCTGAAATCTTGTTCAGTACCAGGCATTTTATTAACTTTGCCCCTCTCATCGACACATTTTGATCACTCAAATAAACATCTCTTTAATGCAAATGTCAGGGTTTTTTTTTAAATTGTGTTAGCCAGACCATTATGTTAAGAAGTATTAATTTCTGAAGATAAAACTACAACACTATAATTAGCAGGTTTGGGTCAAATCCCACTTTCTTCAGATGCGCAGGTAACGCCACTGATTTTACTCATGTATGTGGAGAAAGGTAGAGCTGGTCCTTTCTGATGTATATTGATTATATTTTTAGGACTTGAGAGCAACTGAATATTAGGTATTTTACAATTTGATTTACAATTATTTGATGTATTTATTTGTAAAATATTGATTAAAAGTACAAAAAAAGATGTTTTGTGAAATAGAATACACATACTCCCCAGGAATTGTGGGAATTCAGACCACTTACTCCACTCCTCTGGGAGAGGCTTCAGAAAGTAATGATGCCTCTCTGTTTGTATTTTTAATGTGCTTATCTATATATACACATAAGCAACTTCATTCTAATTACAATGATTCTTCTAAAACTGTTATTCTTTGATTGTGTCCTAAAAGTTGAGTTTCATTTGGGATTTTCCATCTCCAGGTGTCCAAGACATGAATATTTATCTAAGATAATGATTCAAAAATTTTGCCTTTTTTTCGTGCTTTGTAGTTACTACAGGATATAACAGCATAGCTAATAATGAAAAAGGCAGTCATTAATTTTATTTCAGGATTATCTCATGTTTATTTAAAAAAAAAATAGTTTTTCACTTAAAAGAAACTGTAAGACTGATTTTTTTCATACCATTTCTTAATGAAGAAAGTAAAGTAACTGACTTGCACTTTTTTCTTTTTTTTTGGTTGTCAGCTCACCATGCCTTCTCCTATGCCTGAATATCTTAACGTTCACTATATCTGCGAGTCTGCCTCCAGGTTGCTTTTCTTGTCCATGCACTGGGCACGTTCCATTCCATCTTTCCAAGCTTTAGGGTGAGTGTTCAGTTACTCTATTCACTCATGCCGTGAATACGTACTTTTTAAGGTTTTTATTTTCACTGTCGTCTTCAGGTACATTTTGAAATATAAATCTACTTATTGAAACTTTTTATAGCTCTTCATCATGAAGGTAAATTTTCTGAATCAAAACTACTCCCAACTTCAGTCCAATCCAGGTACTTTAGTTGGGTTTTGAAGGAAAAAGGAGTAGCCTTGTAACAATCAAATATCCGCACACTACTTCCTTAATAAATTTTTAGTAAGTAGGACTTCCTAGGATTTTTTTGGTAGCTGTATCCCGAACTAAGATGCTTATCTGGCAGTCATCAAAAAGAAGCTCCTCTCTGGATCCCCAAATATTGTTATCTTCATAGATGAATTAGTAGTAATAATTTTGCTTTTAATAACCTGCATGAAGAAAATAGTTGGCTAAATTCAGCAAGTTGTTTAATTTCAGAGGATTTTCCAACAAAAAATAGTTGCTGTAACCAGAAAGTAATTCTTACTACACTCTTTATGGTTTGTATAACATCCTGCTTTTCCAGCAGAATTCCATGTATCACTTAAAATCCTTAAGCTAAATGTAGTAGTCCCTTGCTGATCATCTTGAGAAAACAGCTCAAAACAGCAGGAGCAAAAGTGATTTATGTTATTTTCAGAATTAATTTCATGAAGACACATCAAACAAAGATACTGTATCAGCTCTGACACAAATGGAATATAGATCATGTTTGTCTGTTCTCATCTACAGTGTTTTTCTTTAAGTCAGTATCAAAATAGTGTATGACTGTGGCAGCAAAGAGAATTCCTTTTTAAAGTGAGGGACTGTCCTGTTTTCCAGAAAGGCTGTCAAAAGCAGGATGATCTGTGATTACCATTTGTGTTTATTCAGATGTTTAAGCCAAATGATTCTACATTGTTTAAGGAAAGATACTATATTGTGTGTCATTGAAGCCTGTGTTTTGGAGAAGGAAAAAGTAAAATTGTATAAAGTTAAAACAATAGCAAGGGTAAAAAATCAGGTAAATATGTTTTATTTTAGTAGAAATAGTTGCCTTGCAGAATTTCAAAATACATAGCAAATGAACATAGTACATTATATCATTATACATTTTTAAAAGGTTTTTGTAACAGAGACACTGCAAATTAGTGTTATAACAACCAATGGGAATTGCTTTTTAAAAATAAAATGTTGTACGGAAGACCTGTCTGTCTGGAAAGATTTTACGAGAAATGCTTAATAGTGTTAATATTCACCTGTGCTAGTATTTACAGTCACAGTCAAGATCATGGGCAACAGTGTATTTAAACACCGTTTTACATAAATACACAATTTTGCTTTTGAAGAGTTTAAAATACTTTTTTCAAATGGAGATTTGTTTGAAATTAATGCAGCTTTTTTAGTTTGAGCACATTATGTACTACAATTTTGACTTTTAGAAGGGTGACTCATTTCACTTTTAAAATGAAGAGAAATTCATGGTACCTAGTAATTGAGTGGAGTTGATGAGCCAAAACAGAACCATAGTAGTGGTTTTGTAAGGAAGAGAGATAATTGTATCCAGGAGGTTTCCTCCTCGGGCAATGTTTTCCTTAGCCACAGCAAGGTAGTTGGCTTTGGCATACTGATGTAGTTAGTGATACCAAGTTACTGCTTAGTTCATCTTCCGGCATGAGGATCTTTGCAGGCAAGAGAGATTCCTACTGAAATGTTCATCAGGCTGGTTACAACCTCTTAGTTTTTTGAGTTTGATCAGCCAGTCCTGATCTAAGTTTGATCAGCCATAAAGGTGCTCTGGATGCACAGTTATCTACACACATACTGGCTCGGTAGCCAGTACACCCTGTTTTCACTGTTCCTCAGTGTAGTCCCGTTGACAGGAGATGAATGGGGATGTGACAAATACATGTAGAAGCTGCATCTTGTGCTTCTTTTAGATTTCCATTATTTATATTTACTGGCTAAAACTGTGAAACATGGTACCTGAATTTGATTGCTCATTGGTAGGATTTCCTTTTTAAGGTACTGAACTCTTTTTAAGCTCTACAAGTTAGAGGTGCTTGGCAATACTGAAAGTTAGGTTACTAATATGGAAGTGTCTGAATAGGGATTGATATACCCAAGTTTGAGCTTCGGCATTTGAAAATAAAGTACTGACTACACATGAAAATTAATTTAAGGACTAATTCTTACAGCAAAGACATCCTCATGACTTCTGTTTATACTTTGAAGTCTGTATTTCAAACCTTATTCCAAACATGAATACAGAAAACAGCAGTCAGGAAGCTTAGGAACTTGATCTCATATGTTCCATTGCACAAATATTTTTAATTAAAAAATTACACCAACCTGCCAGATTTCAAGTTAAAAAAAAAGAAAAGACCTTTGAGTCTATTCTACATCCATAATACAGGAACAATACAAACTTTTTTTTGTCTGTGCATGTAAATGTTATTCAAAAATTAGTGTAAATCCTAAGAAAACTAGCATGATGGAATACGCCTAGATGGTTCTCATTTATTGTAACTTCAGCTTGCTTCTGTGATAGAAATACATCTCCTTTTAGATCATTAAAACAAAAATTACTTCTTTACAAAAGTCACTCTAAAACAGGTATTTTAATCCTAGCTTGCAAATAAAAATATCTTTGATGCAGGGCTTCATTTTGGTACTGGTTGCAATGGTTTAATTAGATGAATGTTTTATGAAGTGCTCTTCAAATTAAAAAAGTATGTGAATGCAAATGGCTGATTTTATTAAGTGAAATTATTGTATTTTTTAATAGACAGGATAACAGCATATCATTAGTAAAAGCCTGCTGGAACGAACTTTTTACGCTTGGTCTTGCACAATGCTCACAAGTTATGAATGTGGCAACTATATTAGCTGCATTTGTTAATCACCTTCATGGCAGTTTACAGCAAGGTAAGGTGTATACTGTGCACATTGCCAGACTTGGGGAATTACTTCATGGTTTTTAAGTTTTGAACTGCACAGAAGCTTTTTACTTAGCCTTCAGTTGCTAATGAAAATTTACTGTTCATAGAGTTTCGTGGTTAGTATTGAAACAAAATAATGCTAGAAAATACAGTTCATAAGGTGGAATTTTTTAGCAATTTTGCAAAAGTCAGCTGTGCTAATACTTACACCCAAATAAAAAAAAATAAAATTGCCCATATATCTAATACAGAATACCATTTCCTGGGGTTATTTTTATTGTATGTCTGTGTATTGTTTAATAGTGTTCTGCTGTTCTGTTAATATTGTCAGCTCAAATTAGGAATATTTCAGGCAGCATCAACCTTAAGAACACAAGTGTACTGTGAATATGATTTCTCTGGATCAAGGGTATAAAGTAGACAATGACCCACCTGTCCTTGCTGTTCATGGCTGTGAAACAAAGCAGCCAAATGCCAACTTGGTGATAGACTTCCTTTACGTAACTTGGCTTGTTGTCTTATGTATACTAGTTTTAGACTACATGCAAGTCTTCAACAGACCTTCACTAAGTATACTTTGTTCCTTATTAATCCTCTGTCCTGCATCTTTGGCATATTTTTCATTCAAATGAAAGAGATGTCAGTTGGCCTCCTCTTTCACTTGATCTGCAGTGAAGGAATTGTTCTTCTGAGTAGCAGGGGAGTCTTTTAGCTAATCTTCTTTGTGTGCTTATGAATACTCACAAGGTTGTCAGCACTAAAAGCTAACCAACCAAAAATAGTACAGTCTTCATCTGTTCAGAGTCTTAACACGTTTTTAGTAAGGTAGATGCACATAAAGAAAATCTTAGCATTTTCAGGTTGAACTAGATTTTTGGGTTATTTGCTGTTATGTGTATGAAAATTCGCTAATATCCACAAGATCCTCTTATAAATAACAATAGTTTATAATTAAAACAAATTGATTAAACCAGTAAGTGTACTGGATCAGCTAAAGATACTAACAAATCTGTGAATGTCTTTAGGAGGCATACAAATGGAATTTGGGAACTTACTTTGGGCTACATAATTTTTAAGCATGCTCACCAAAAAGAGTATTGTAGTAATTAGTCATGGTTTTATAATTTCTACAAATAAATACTTTTGCCATTTAATTTGGGAATTCAGTTTGAGTACAAAAATCAGACATTTATAACCAATGTCTTCCAGTTGAGTAGTATGCCAGCTGCAGCATCTCCAAGAGATAACAAGTTTGTGGGGCCCAGAGACCCTACTTCCATGGATTGTAGAGGGAATGGGATTTTCAGGCTGCTTAGCTCTTGCTGACCCAAGAGGATCAGCTCTGCACCAACCACATTCCCCTAGATGCAACTCAGGAAAGGTGTATAGTGCACCTTCTTTTTCAGCAGCAGCATGGTCTTTGACTAAGATAACCCATGAAGCTAGACACTAACCTACCTCGTGGCACCTGGCTCTTAGACGTAGAGCACACATCTGCAGTAGCGGCAGTGTATTCTTCACTTACAAGTCATCTTTCCCTTCCTTGATTATTTCAAGCTCTAGTCTACCCCTGATTACTGGAAGCTTTTG